CCTTCCCGGAGCCTCGTTTGCAAGGTGACAGCAAAGACAAATGGCGTTCCCATCAGCACCAACATCTGGGGCATAGGTGGGGGCAGGGAAAGGTCTTCATTAAAATGCAGTGACTCCATTGGCACCAAAATAAACGTGACATTTATCAGAACCTGCTAAATCTATTCAGCGCTTGCTTCCTTCGGAAGTGCAGGGTTCGTGCCGTGGGCCTGGGGAGATGAGGTCTTTGCTGGTGAGAAAATATCGAGTGGCAAGATGAGTGGGAGCAAGGGAAGACCGGGAGAGGGAGAGCTGAGTGCGCCAGGCCGCGAAGGGGCTGGGCCCTGGGGGCAGCTACTCCCTGCCCTTGCTGCTTTTAATGTAAAAGACCGAGGGGGTTGATGTGGTCATCCAGCAAAGAGTGGGTTTCTGTCACGTGGTAAAGAAATAGAAACAAAGTAATGCCACACATCCAAACACAAAGTGACCTCTACGGCTCCTAAATTGTCCCCGGCATTTTGCCCTATCTCTTTATCACTCATGGTAACCTGGGGAGTCATTTGCATCTTCCCACTAAACAGATGGAGAAATTGAGGCACAGGGAGGCTCAGTCAGTCACTCGAGGTGGTTCAGTTAGCCCAAGGTGGTTCAGTTAGCCCAAGGTCCCGTCAGCCCAAGCATCCTCGCACCCCAAAGGCACAATGGGTCTCCTTAGCTTGGTTTAGAGGTAAACCCGTGATAAGAAGACAGGAAAGTGGAGTTTGAATTCTGAATTTCCTTGTGGCTTCAGAACACTCCAACCCTCCCGGGCCTCATCCCTCTGTAAAACATGGTTTCTAGAATTCCTTGTTTCAGATCGCCCGGGCATGTGAGTATTGTGTGCTGTTGGCATTCCACCACTGAAGAAACCCAAGATACTGTCCCAGGCGTCTTGCCTGGGCTCAGGTCTCCAGGGTGTCGTGTGCAGGCAATGACTAACAGTTAGCAGTAGGAAGCAGCTTGGGGGTGGCACTTTGCCTGCCCGAGTCTCCAGTCTCTGTTTCCCTGCTTATTAGCTGCATGACCTTGGCAAGTTACTTAACCTCTCTGAGCCCCTGGTGACACGTGTTTTGGTTGCTTGAGTTCAGAGTTCTGGAAGTTATGAGAAATAATTACAGCAACCAATTGCAGTGATTATCCTGTCAGATGCTGTGATAAAGACGATCTCATTTAATCCGCATGGGGAATCTTATTAGAAAGCTATCTTCATTCCTCCCATTTCAGAGCTGAGAAAACTGAGGCTCAGAAGCTCTGACTTTAGATTTGCTACATCAGAATTGCTGCCTGAGAAAGAGCAGGAACTCCAGGGGAGTGTTGTGTCTTGCAAAGAAGAATTTGCAATTCCCAAGAATTCCTCCAGGATTTGTGGTGAGGGGCCATTGAGTGGGCTACAACTTACAGTGACCTGGTGAACAGCAGATCTGAACTTTGCCCTGTCCCCACACCGTCCTCAGGATCTCCACTGTGAAGCCATCGTTACAGCCACTGTGCCAAGCCAGCTTGTCGAGGGTCTTCCTCTCCTTCTCAGAACCAGGAGCGGAGCGGAAATACGAAACTAGGAGACATTGGGGTGGGGGTGGGGTGGAAGAAGAACGAACTGGGGAGGAGGGTGGAGAAAACAGTGCAACAATGAATGAGTAAAATCCCAAAATCTCTGTAAATGTTCATTAAAACGAATAACATTTAATAATAACAATAAAAAAAGAACCTTCCTCACAAAGGAAGCCATTTCTCTCTCTCTCTTTCCTTTTATTTTTTTTTTTTGAGGAACCCATGCACTTCCAGAGCCTGCAGTTAGCTGAACCCATGTGTTCTTTTGAAGGAATGTGTACTCAGTTTCCTCACAAGCCTTCTGGCAGCTTTTTGAAATGCCACCCCCTGGGGCACAAGAGGCTTTAGGTGAGTGGAGGAGGCAACAGCTTGTGCTGAAGAGCTTCTTACCATGAGCCTTGCTGCAAAGCACCAGAGGGAGACCGCTGAGGGAGGGGCAGCTGGGGAGTGTCCATCAGACCTTGAACCCCCAACATCTAGGGGCCACCCCATGCCCGCTGCTGTGCTGGAAACATTAACACATTTGATCCCTCTATCTCCTGAGCAATGAATGTTTTTTCCCCCCACTTTTCAGAAGCCCCTTATCACAGCCTGGGGACAGAGGACCACCTTTAATCCAGGATCTTCACACTGAGGTCTCCTTCCTGTCCAGCTGCCTTCCTTCCCCTAAATGGTTAACAGTAAGTAGCCTGGGGCAGGGGCGGTGGAAGTGCTAAATGCAATTACCACACAATTGCATATTTTTTTATAAACAAGCTTGGGGCTCCCCACCCCCATGGCCTTTCTGTGGCCTTGAGGCTTTGCAGATAAATTCTCTTCCTTTTTACACGCTGATTTTTAACTGGGAGTGCTGGCTCTGTCCTCACCCCTCTCACCCTTTCCTGGCACAGATGTGCATCTTGCACAAGCGAGCACTGTCACCTGAAGCGTGTCCATAGACATGAGTCTGCACACAGGACAAGCCTGTACTTGCCGCCCCATGAGAGATGCTGCAAACCCACGGCAGACCCTGCTGGGGGTGCCTATGCCGTGGGTTTCCTTTGAATACTAGGGGGAAAAGGAGTAAGAATCTGGAGGTTCCAGGCCTTGTAATGACTGTTAAAATCATGAGATTTGTTCATTCATTCTCCAAATACTTATTGCGGTCCTCCATGCACCAGTTTCCCTGGGGAAACAGCCCCAAACTGGGCATATCCGGTCATAGACCATCAAGAGAATATTGTCTCACCATATTTACTATTGCGACAGGCTGCCACTGGGCCACCCAAGCGTCCTAAAACACTGAACTTGACCCTTGGGCGGAAATGATCCCAGTCAGATGGGCTCACCCTGTTGGTCAGCAAACTCTGGTTGGTGATGGATAGTTAAACTGGTAAGTGAATGAATGGCTGTCTAATACATCTAGGGTGATATTAGGCACAATCTTTGAAATAAAAAGCCTGGAGGGCCTATAGTGAGTCTGATTTTCACTATGAGGGATTCTGGTTTCTGCCCCTCAGCCCCTACTACCTACTTCCAAGCAGCCCTGGGAGTGAAGGGAGGAGGCGGGAAGGTTAGTGGGACTTTGCCTGATACTATGGAGAATCTCCTCCCAGGCGATTTATAGCCTCTGAAACCCAACGGAGTGTCAGCTCTGAGTTGCTTCCGACTGGACGTAAATGAGCTGAGTTGAGCTAAGCCTCTTATTCAAGTGCCTCCTGTTCTTGCTTCGAGCTGCTATGAGTCCGTTCTCACCCATGTCGAGCCTCTGTGTGCAGAGCAGAACTTGTGCACACGCTTTTCAAGGCTGTGGCTTTTCTGAAGTAGATTGCCAGGCTTGTCTTCTGAGGCACCTCTGGATGGGGTTCAACCACCAGTCTTTGGGCTGATAGCCAATCATCGGGCCTCCCAGGGACTCCTCTGGAGGCCTCTATCACCTTCTGCTTCTGCTGTAGCCTCCAGTCCTGCTGCCATGTTCCTCTGCTCCCTGGCCCCACCCCAGGTCTCTGGGCCCTGCATCCAGGCCACCCTGAAGCCATCTCATCTCCTCCCTCTGCTGTATCTGAGGCCATTAAACTAGCGGCTGCTGCACTGACTCTACCTTATAGTGATCCTGTGTATATCCCAGTACAACTGTGCCCCACAGGTTTTGAGTGTCTGGTTTCTTAGATTGCCAGGCCTTCAGAGATGAGGTGCCTCCAGATAGACTTAGTGGTTTGCTTAGCAGTCTAGTATGTTAACCAGTTTGCACTGCCCTCCTTTGAGTCTGTGTCGTGCTACCAAAGAAGCTGTCCCTAGGGGCTCATGGGCTTTGCCTCACGCCTGGAGCCCCTCTCCCAGCAGGCCTGGCCAAGCTCCTCCTAACAGCCCTATAAACTCCTCAGGCACAGTGGGCAGGGAGCGGCCGCCAGAGAAGCAATTTCTGCCCGCCCTGCCTGTAATTGGCTGAATGCTGAACCAAGCAGAAAGCTGCTCCAGGAGACCAGGGACACTGTGTGCTGGATACCAGCTGGGAGGGGGGGAAATCGAAGATCTGGGTGGAGGGGGACTTGGGCCGAGTGTCTGAAGTATTAAGAGATCAAGAGGAAGCTGGGCCTCCTTAGCTGCTGCCATCTCCTCTAAGTCTGTTCTGAGACTATTCTTGAAGTTTGCACATGTAACCTAATCTCATCCCAGGATACAGGGCAGCAAAGTCTGAGTGACAGCTCAGGCTTTGGCATCTACCAGCCAGCTGTTACATCTGTTGTTATTATGTGCTGTTGAGTCAGAATTGACTCAGAGCCGACCCTTCAACGGGTTTCCAGAGACAGTAAATCACATGAGAGGAGATTGCCCAGGTTTCTTCTTCAAAGCAGCTGTTGGATTTGAACCATGTGCCTTTGGGTTGGTTGGCAGCACAGTTCCTTGTCACTAGACTATTAGAACTCCCTGTTATGTCTCTATATGTTAGGCTCTATCTTTCAATTTCCTCTTTTGCAAAGAGGGAACGTCCATACTCACTTCACAGAGTTATGGATGTGAAAATTTGGAGTAAATAATGAATGGCTTTAAGAGATGTAGTGATGGTGACGTGGTAGAGTAGGTGAGCTCTAAAGTTAGACTTCAGGGTTCAAATCCTGGTTCTACCATTAGCCTGCTGTGCTGCTTAATCTCTCTGTATTCCATTTTCTCGTTTCTATAATATTGTTGTTGTTTTGTACTGTAGAGTTGGAACCAACCCATAACTGACCCTCCAGCAGGTTTTCAGAGGTGGTTAATTGCACAAGAGGAGATTACCCATCCTCCTGTGGAGCAGCTGGTGGCCTTGAACTGTGTGCCTTCAGGATTGCAGCACAGCTTCTTGCCACTAGGTCACCGGAGCTTCCTGTTTCTATAATAGGGATAGCAATAATTCCTAATGCATAGAATAATTATGAGGATGAAAAAATGTCAAGGTAATTCATACAAATGTCTTACTGCCTGGCACAAAGTAAGTGTTTAATAAGCAATGGTGATGATGGTGGTGGTGGTGATGATGGTGATGATGATGATGATGGTGGTGGTGATGATGATGATGGTGGTGATGATGATGATGGTGGTGATGATGATGATGGTGGTGATGATGATGATGGTGGTGATGATGGTAATAACGGTGGTGATGATGGTGGTGATGATGATGATGGTGATGATGGTGATGGTGATGGTGATGGTGGTGATGATGATGATGGTAGTGGTGATGATGATGATGGTGGTGATGATGGTAATAATGGTGGTGATGATGATGATGGTGATAATGATGGTGATAAAGATGATGATGATGATGGTAGTGTTGGTGATGATGGTGGTGTTGGTGATGATGGTGGTGTTGGTGATGATGGTGGTGTTGGTGATGATGGTCGTGATGATGATGATGGTGGTGATGATGGTGATGGTAGTGATGCTGGTGGTGATAATGATGGTGATGATGGTGATGATGATGGCAATGATGGTGATGATGGTAATAATGGTGGTGATGATGATGCTGGTGATAATGATGGTGATAAAGATGATGATGATGGTAGTGATGCTGGTGATGATGGTGGTGGTGATGATGGTGGTGGTGATGATGATGGTGGTGATGATGATGGTGGTGATGATGGTGATGGTAGTGATGCTGGTGATGATGATGATGGTGATGATGGTGATGATGATGGCAATGATGGTGATGATGGTAATAATGGTGGTGATGATGGTAATAATGGTGGTGATGATGATGGTGGTGGTGATGATGGTGGTGATGATGATGATGGTAGTGGTGATGGTGGTGATGATGGTGATAACGGTGGTGATGATGGTGGTGATGATGATGATGGTGATAATGATGGTAATGATGGTGATAAAGATGATGATGGTGTTGGTGGTGTTGGTGATGATGGTTGTGATGGTGATGATGGTGGTGATGATGGTGATGGTGGTGATGCTGGTGATGATAATGATGGTGATGATGATGGCAATGATGGTGATGATGCTGGTGATAATGATGGTAATGATGGTGATAAAGATGATGATGATGGTGGTGATGATGGTGGTGATGATGATGGTAATGGTGGTGATGATGGTGGTGGTGATGATGGTAATAGTGATGACAATGGCAGAGATGGTGAAAGTAATGATCATGAGTCATGGCGATAGTGACAATGGTATGAGGAGATTGAGTAGACAGTACAGAATACTTTCCCACTGTCACTGAATTGATTCTGACTCCTAGGACCTTAGTGGACAGAAGAGGATGGCCCCCATAGGTTTTCTAAAGCCATAAATCTTTACGGAATCAGATTGTCACATCTCTCTGTGGAGTGGCTGGTGGGTTTGAACAGTCAACCTGCTGGTTAGCAGCAAAGTGCCTAACTACTTTGTCACCAGAGCTCCTAAACCTATTACGATGTTGACTCTAACACACACAGTGAATTTACAAGATAGACTAGAACTTTCCTAGTAGGCACGCTAAGTCTAAAATTTCCATGGGAACAGACTATCACATCCTTCCGTCACAGAGCGGCTGCTGGGCTCAAACTGCTGACCATTCAGCTAGCACCTGAGAACTTAACCTCTGTGCCATCTGGGCTCCGCATTCGACTGTTACGAGAGGCTAACCTGGAGTGTCCAGCGGCTAAGAGAAAATTTGGTGATTCAGGAGACCGGAAGAAGGCCCAGAGAAGAGTTGGTGTGGGAAGTGCAAGCCCGGTCAGTTCTCACTGAAATTGTCTTGTTTGGCCAGTGGTGGGTACTGAGGCTATGATGTGCCAGGGTCCTCTGGTGGGCAACACTCACCAGGCTGGGGTCACTGGGGCATCACAAAGCCAAAAATGAAGAAACCGGCTTACTGGAGAATTCTTCTACCTGCTTGCCGAGGAAAGAGTAGACTCAAGCTGACATCTAGAAGAATTCAGAATGCTTTCCATTATGAGGTGTTACAAGTGGCAGAGAAGGAACCCCTGAGCCCACAAGGCAAACAGCCCATGATGTGGCTGGTTTCCTACAGAGCCTTTCCTGAGAACTTCCTTGGCTTGAGTGTGTCTGCCAGATTCCCAGACCTGGGTGGTGGACCAGGAAGCAAGCCATGGGATGGGGCTGATGGGGGTTCTGGAGGGACAAGGGCAAGGGCAAGGGCAAGGGATCCTTCCTGGTCAGGGTTTTAAACCAGTTTATTCTTACATGTACATAATAGTCACTAGGGGATCTTGTTAAAAATGTAGATCTTGATTCAATATGTTTGATATGGAAATGTAAATTATCAGCAAGGGCTAAACCAGAGTAAATAGGTTCAAAGTCCTGGTCCCGGTTTTATGAACTTTATTACTTACCTGACACATGACTCAGCTGCTGGAGTTGCCTGGAGTCACAATCATCAGAAAGTATAGATTGCCCCTCAGTCAATACCTGCTCAAGGGTGTGGGGCAGATATTTCTACACCTGCTGAGTGAGGGGCTTAGCTCGGGCTGCACCGTCTAGTCTAAACTCCTCTGTTTCCCTCTTTTCACCTCTCTCCCCACTTCTTCCCATACTAGCACACCTCTCATCCCTGCCTGAGGTGTCTCTGCACTCCCAGAACTTCTCTCTGACTTTGGCTGCAGGCATCTCTCCCTGGAAGCTCTCTGGAAGGTCTGCAGGGATCAGAATAGTGTTACACGCAGCCTAGAAACCCAAATGTGGCTTCTCTCCCCCTTGGAGGCCCCCCGACTGCCTCTCACGGCAATTTTCGTGTCCTCGCCCGGCCAGGTTTCCTGGGAAAGTTGGCATTGGGGTAGTTCTGGCTTGTGGTTTGACCAGTGGCAGGGCTCAAGTCCCGTGGGAAAGCATGTGCCTCTGTGCGTGTGTGTGTGTGTGTTTGTGTGCACGAACACTTGTGTGTATGGCGGTGGCACACCTCCCCCATCCCACCCCGTTCCTCTCTGCCTCCCAGGCCCTGGCCACCTGGGTGGCGCTCCAAGAGGCCAAGCTGGGAGCTCAGAGCTAAAGGGAGGCCTGGGTTGTGGTCCGCGGTGGGGCCTGGGGACAAAACCCACACGTTTCCTGCAGTCTCTTCCTGGTTCCCAGCTCAGTCCAGGATGCTGGGTGGATGTGACAATCAGCATCCCTGAGCCGCCTCCACAGGTCACAGAGAGTTAGAACGGCATCTGGGCCAGCTACTTCACCTCTCTGAGCTCCATCTTGGGACTGCAATGATGAAGACACTGGGAATATGGGTCTTCTAGGTCTGCTTTTAGGGTGCAAAGAAGCACCAGGCAGGTGCACAAGGGGGCTGTGCCATTGAATCAGGATTGACTTATAGCTGCCCCTCCAGGGAATTTTCAGGGACTGTAAATCACATGACAGTTGATTGTCCATTTTTCTCCCTTGGAGCAGCTGGTGGATTCGAACTTCCTCCTTTTGGGTTGGCAGCACAATTTCTTATGCACAAGGGGCAGCCTCCTTCTTTTTCACCTTCCTTCTTTGCTTCTTTTCTCTCATCCTGTCTCCAGGGTATCCCAGGCCTCCCCCAAGACATACATAATGATTCATACAATGTAATGGATGAATTCTATGCAACTATTAAAATTAATGTTAGAAATGTGCATGAATGCACAAGTGAAATTATAATTACAATATTATAAAACAAAATATAGATGAATGATAGAATGAAAAAAAAGTAGAATTAGTAAACTTATCCTTAAATAAAAATTAAAAAAAAATTTAGTTACAAAGAAAGTTAAAGTGCACACCCATGTTTATCATGGCTTTGTTCAGAATTGCAAAGAATTAGAAACAACCTAAGTGCCCATCAACAAACGAATGGATAGAGGAGCTCTGGTATTTCACACAATGGAATACTACGCTGCATTGAAAAACAAGGAACTCATGAAATTTCATACAAAATGGGTCCCCCTGGAGGACATTATGCTGATTGAAATATCTCAGTCACTGAAGGACAAATACTGCATAGTGCCACTGTTGTAAAATAGGATTGACATCAGGGTTGGGTGGATACTGAGAAAGATGGGATAAATTGTGTATACTGCATTGAAGCAGATGAGAAAGAACTATTTAAAAGGGATTTGTGATTAGGTATTATTGTCGTGATAGGAGTCCAGAACGAAGGCTGCATAGTGGAGTGGAGTTGGGGGGAGGGATTGTATAAAAATGAAAGAATTTTTCTTTTATTTTTCAAAGAGAAGAGTGAACTAGGGGTAGGGGTGGGCAGGGAGAAAAGTGCAACAATGAATAAATGGAAATCCAAAGTCTCTGTAAACTTTCATTAAAATTAATAATGGAAGAATAAAACTATGTGATTTACAACATTTTTAAAAAGTTAAAGAGGTGTGTAATGTAGGTGAGCTGTGTTGCATAAGGCCTACACTTTCTTTGAGATGGTCTCAATTTATATAAGCTTGAAATAACACCAACAACAGCAATAGTAAATGAGTGAGGCAGACATACAAACTGGTCACCATAGTGGAGTTGTTATATGGAGTCATTTGCTGGTTCAGCCCAGCAACTGAATCAGCATTGCCCATGAGCTTGTTAGTAATACAGAATCCAATTAAAAGGGCAGCATTTATCCAGGGATAAAGCTCAGGAGACAGGAAAGGATAGGAAAGAGGATGAAGGAAAATGGCAAACACAGAGAGGAAAGAGGAAGAGTGCTGCTACATTGTAGGGACTGCAGTCAATGTAATGAAACAAAACGTGTGTGGCTTGTTGAACGGAAAACCAATTGGCCCTGTAGACTTTCACTCAAAGCACCATTGTTGTTGTTAAGTGCCTGTCGAGTCACAGGCGACTCATAGCGACCCTATGAAGGAGAGTCCTCAACACTTGGGTGCCTTTCATCCTCTCTCCAAGTTCGTAGGGTTTCCGGAGGCAAGCTATTATGGAATTGGATGCCACTTCTCCTTCCACGCTTGTTCAATTGGGGAGCTCCACCTCACTCTCAGTCCGCATTGGGTAGCCAACCATTAACGCATTTGACACATTCATGTCAGGGCTAAAAAACGAAAGCTCAAGAAATATAGAACCCCCAGACCTCACCACAGATGATCGTGCTGCAGTCCAAAGGCAAATAGTTCAAATCCACCAGCTGCTCTGTGGGAGAAGGATGGGCAATCTCCTCCTGTTCGATTTGCTGCCTCTGAAAACCCACTAGAGGGTCAGCTATGGGTTGATTTTTACTCGACGGTACTAAACAACAACAACAATAACAACACCTGTGCAATAGGTGGGGCTGTGATGGTATAGGCTGTAGGGAGTTGTGCGGATAGCCCAAAGGCAGCACCTCTGTGATGGTTTCTGAGAGAAAGATGGGCAGTGGCTCCTTGAGAGAAAGACGGGCAATCTTCTCCAGCGAGGTTTACAGTCTCAGAAACCCGGAGGGTGGGCGTGCGTCAGAATGGACCGGAGGACAACAATGAGTAAGTGTATGTGGAACACAGAGAAGCTTTGATGGCACAACGTTAGGTGTTCGGCAGCTAACTGAAAGGTGGGTAGCTTGAACCTATCCAGGGTGACTCTGCCACAGAAGGACCAGCTGATCAGTGTCTGCATAGCTTGTACCCAAGAAAAGCCTCCTAGGAAGTTCTCCTCTGTCACACGGAGTCACTGGGGGTCAGCACTGGCTCAGTGACACCCAGCAACAGTGTACACCAGATGCCCATGCAGGTTTGTGACATGAACTGATGGATGAATGGAGGAGTGAATGAATGGAACGGTATCCACCACGTTCTATTGATCAAAGCAAATCATCAGACATGCCCCAGATTCAGCAGAAGGGAAGCTGACTCTTTTTTTCTTTTTTTTCTCTGGGAGCATAGAGGGAGCTGTTGGCAGTCATTCGGGCGGACACCCTAAACCAGCTACTGTTAAATTGGTTCTGACTCAAGGTGACGTCTCATGGGCCAGAGTAGAACCATGACCCTTCGGGGGT